AATGGCATTAAAAAAAAAAGTGATAGACTAATGCAAGAGCTACTTTTTGTTGCAGACTTTGGTGAAGGCTGGGTGTGACCTCAGTGAAAGGGTGGCATTCGTTAGGTGAACAGGATGGCAAGGGTGAATTGTCACACAAAGAGCTGCAGCCAGATTTACTATCTACAACTGAATACAAAATGGAAATGCAGATGAATTTAGTCTCAGTTGTGTCTCTTGAGGCAAAATGCCCTCCAAGGTCAACCAGCATGATGTGCATAAGGATCTAGTTTCTTGGAAGTCTCAGTATTTATAGATTCTATTGCCTTTAGCAGAAGCTGTGGAGGTTGGTGGCTGACAACTCTGAAGCCATATTACAAAAGCAGAGCAAATTTTGGGGAGAGAAAGATTGCTGCTGCTTCCCTCCCTTGCTCCTTCTTTAGTTTAGCATTTAGTTCACTATTTCTTACTGTGCCTCAGAAAAATAAGATTTATTTGTTTATAGAAGATTTGGGAACACAGTATTAAATATGCCTCTTTTTTAGTATTCCAGTCATTTCTACAGTGGGTTCTTTTTTCTTTATTTTCAAAATAACTACTTTTTGTTTTTTTAGAAACATTCTTTCTTTAAAAAGATTATAGAATCATAGAATGGTTTGGGTTGGAATGGGCCTTGAAGAACCCTTAGTTCCAACCCCCTGCCATGGGCAGGTCCACCTTCCACTACACCAGGTTACTCAAAACCCTATCCAACCTTGCCTTGAACACTTAGAGGGATAAAGCAGCCACAACTTGTCTGGGCAACTTGTGCCAGTGCCTCACCACCCTCAGGGTGAAGAATTTTTCACTTATAGCTAATCTAGATTGAACCTTTTTTCAGTTTGAAGCCATTAGCCCTTGTGTCTCATCCCTATATGCCCTTGTAAAAGGTCTCTGTGGTGGAAGTCCCTTTCAGGTACCAGAAGGTGCTCTAAGTTTTCCCTGGAGCCTTCTTTCCTGCAGTCTCAACAACCCCAACTCCCTCTGCCTGTCTTCACAGAAGAGACCCTTCAGCCTTCTGATCATCTTCAGGGACAAAGTTTAAATGATTGCTGTTTAGATGTACCAAGGTTTCATTACGGATAAGTTATTGCTTTTGCTTGAATTGTAATGAATATGTGGCTTTGTTAAACATGGATGATGTTTTGGTTCGTGATTTCACATGAAGTTGCCTGAACATTGCATTTGGGAGGAGATAGCTATCATGTTTAAGTTAACAATTTTCACATTGTGATCCATTTCACTGAAGTAGTCATTGTGACTTGTTAGAACTGTATTTATGTTTATGTTTGCACGGTAAGTACTTCAAATTCAGCAGTCTTTGCTGGAATTAATCACATGTACACGCCAATTTACTTTCTGAATTTGGAATTAAGGTGGATCTGCATGAAACATGATGATTTTGTTTGTAAGTATTTTTTGGTAAACGTTTCCCTCAGTTCTAACTGGAGCAGTGAGATGCCATCTGGGAGGTCTGCCAGGTTTCTGCAGTTGGCAGACCTGTTGTCTGTTCCTGTGGCACTGCTGCTCGTCTGGCTGAACCAGCAGGAAGCGCTTCACTTCTCGCCAGCTGCCATGGCACTTACTGACACATTGGGCTTGCGGACAAAGCAGTGGCCAGAAATTCTAGGAGGAAGCAAGGACTGCATGTGGATCTAAGAGACCTAACTTTGTGGAGCTTCATTTTTAGTATTAGATACTGGGAAGCAGAATGAAGATGAACTGTACTTTTGTTTGTTTGTTGTTCTTAAAAATAATTTTCAGGAGTAGAGACTTCTGTTTTCATGGATAGGAAACTTCTGCAAGGTAGAGCTGTTATTATTTGGTGTATTAACAAACACATACTATGCACCAGGATTATTGGCACCAAGTCAGCCCTGTGCTTGAATGATGTTTCAAGTGAAAAGACGCAGAGTTACAACTGCTGTAACTTCCTTGTTTAAGGCAGAATTTGGAAACAGCTATAATGCTTAATATAGTCTAGATGTAGTTTAATTATCAGGTAACATTTAAGGCATAAGGTATTTAACATCACCAACTATCTTAAAATTACTTTGTGGATCTTGAATACTTTTTTTTGGAAATGAGTGTACCTTGGTAGTGTTATTAAGAATTGAGTAATTCCTACTTTAGCTTCACATCCAATAAATCACTCTAAATGCTATCCTTGATATACTTTTCAAAGTTCCTTTGATTTTTAGTGATATGTGTGTCCTGGAATTATTATTTTTTTACCAAAGAGAAAAGTTTTATTTACATACATTGCATGTCTTCACAGTTAGTGTAATGCAATAGGAGGCAGGATTAGATTAGTACAGTTTTACTTATTACATTATCCATCTCTGACTGTGGGTCTTGAAGTTGTATCTTTTCTACTAAGATGAAGCTGCACAAAAACAACAACAAAAAAACCAACAAAAAACAGCTTTCCACTTTTTATTTATTATGAGCTTTACACTGCTAATGCAGAGTTAAGATTTCTTAGAAGCTGGTCACAAAGACTGTTTCTGTTTAATGAGGTATGTGAGTGTCGGAAGAATTGTGAAACATTAGACTGCAGTTTCCATAGATGTTAATTTGACATTTTTACAGGAGTATTCTTTTTGCTTGTCTGTATCAAACAGATCTGTAATTAAGTAATTATTTTGTTTTAGAATTTCATTTGCTTCAGAACATTCTGGTTTTCATATGGTCTCTTGCAAAGCTCATATAAAGGTTGCTGCATTCACATTGTTTGAGCATCATTGTTTTACCAGTTCTACTGGTTTCTTCACATGTCTTACAACTTTGTGGGTTTTCTTCCCTGTATTAACTTCAGGAAACCTAAGATCATGAAAGCTGAGTTTCTTACAGAAAGGGGGCAAATTGAATTGGCAGATCAGTATTTGCTGCTAAAGTTGCAAAGCTTTCCCAGGTGATACATGATTAATGTACTCCTGAATGGCTCAGACTTTCAATTTTCTAAGTAGAATGATCTTGAAAAGTGTTCTGGCTGGCAACTGGATCATAGTGGAATAATCTTTCCCATAAGAGTATTTGCATAAATGCGAAAGTAAGTAAGCACTAGGGAGATTGCTCTGGCCTTGCACTGTCCCCTCTTCCTACCCCAGTTCACTCTGTGGGATCTATTTCAAAATTTCTTCTCTTGTATTATGTGTAAAGTGAAGGCTCCTGATCTTTTTCTTACCAAAATAGTGATAGAAAATAGAAGTGTGCTTCTGTTTATTCCAGTATTGAAATTCCATACTTGGGTCTGTGTAAAACCATATTTACAGCTGTTTGGCAAATGGATGAAGGAAGTTTGCAGCCTAAGTAACAAACTGCACAGACATAGGCCTCCATTAAGAGCTGCTTGTGTGAGCATATCAGATTTCCTGGCATGTAAACCACATAAAAAAATAATATTTGATATGCTGTAAATCTCATTAAAGCACTGAAATGAACCCAGGTATTTTTTTTATATATTTTCTTTTACTTAACAACATTTGTAGCAGTACTTTCAAATATATGGCTTCTTTCTGTGTATTTCTGCATGGTAAGGAGAAAGTGTGAATACACTTTATTCTAGTTTTTTTCTTCCAAAAATATACTTATAAGATGTTGTGCCATTCAGACTCCTTCTCCTAATGATGCTGAATATGCATCAGTACACAACATGAAGATACAAAGTATAATTTTAGAGGCTCTAATTATATTATGAATTCAAAGCACACTGCAAAAATTATTTGAATGTTTTCAAGAAAGTCGAAAATCCTACAACCGCTCCACTTCTACTAAATCCCTGCTCCTCTGAAACCAAGAAAATGAATATTCAATATTTTTTTTCCATTTGAGTCCCTTGACATACTATTGATTCACTTTATTTTCCCAACAATTTCTGACAGATTTCCCAATGTGGATTACTTTTGTGCTTTGATATTCATTTTGTGACTGCCTTTGAAAAGCACATAAAATTAGAACTGCAGCAACCTGTTCACTGGAGCTACAAACCAATGAGCACAAGCCTTGGCATCACTGTGTTCGCTGCTACTGGTGTGTGCAATGGACTTTCAGCATCCAATATACTGAGTATTAACTGATGACAGAAAGTGTTGAAGATGTAGGAATTAAAGAATTCATTGGCTTATTATTAAAAAAATATAACACCTTAAAAAGCATGTTCTTTCCAGGTTCCTTCTCTGCATGGTACATTTCTGTTCTTTTTGGTTGGGACACTTTAAGCACCCTTTGGGTAGAACTGGCCCTTGTCCATTGCTTGATGTTCCCTTTTTGATAAGGGATTCCTTTCATGTGGAAGTAGGTCTTCTGATAGATTACTCTTAGACATGGAAAGTGCATATAAATTCTGAAAATTCTTGAAGCTGGCCAGTCCTTGCATTAATACCTGTGTTGGTGGTGGAGGAGGAGAAGGTTGACCTCAGGAATATGATTTCTGTCTAAATGTGCATCTTGAATTTTCTGCTAGTGAAGAATATTGGTTTTCTTATAATAATGGCCTGGACTGGGTACAAGGTGTTTTCTGCTCTGGATTCACATAAAATGGGTTTTCACCAGGAAAATTCAGACTTGTGTTTCTTGGACCCAACCCTCTTACCCAAGATGTCTGGAAGTGGATGGTGCAGCTAAACACCATGAACAGTCAAATTTTCCACCCTTCAACAAGGACTAGTCAAATCCTGCACCTCCACAGTAACTGACAACACTTGGTGGATCTGTGTGTGGGTTTTTTTGCTGTTGTTTTTTGGTTTTGGTTTTGGGTGGATTTTTTTGTATTTTTTTTTTTTTCCTACCTGGTTGACTTCATAAACCTTTAGCAATTTGCTTAATCTGAGATTAGCCTGGTATGAAGCATGACATTTTGCTTGACTGGATAATAAGGAACTGTGCAAGCAGTTGAGTTAAAATTAAATTTGAGAACTGAGAATTTCGACCTATATATGTTTTCAGTTATTTTAATATTTTTTTTTTTTTTTTTGCAGATTTGGGAGCATTTATGAAAACACTGGGAAGATGCTCTGAAGGTGTGAAGGTGAAGGAAACTTCCTAAGAGATTAACAAAGCATTAAATAATGTAATTTATAGTATTTTAATAACTGAGATGATCCAGGTCCACTCTTCTGGGGATACACGTTATAGGAACACCACTTTAAATGTAAACCAAAATTTAATACCTGCAGCAATGTGTTAGTTAAACAATCAAACAGAAAAAAGTTCCACAAACAACAAAACCACAGTGTGATGCCAGTGTCTGTGTGTATAGCAGGCCACAACAATGTTAAGCTGTTCTGTTTGATCCTGATTTTCAAAGCTTTTTAAACTTTATTCTTATTGGGTTTTTGAGCTCAGATTTTTAAAAGCCTTTTTCTAGGTAGTTCCTTCAATTTTGGAACCAGATTCAATGAATTAAGTAAAGCCATTAAAATTTAGTATTTCTTTTTAAGCTTATTTATGAAGGAGGTTCCAAACTGGATTAATTCAAATTACTACCTTGGCAATGCACAAGCACCTAATGCTAATGCCATTACTGAGAGTTCTCCCTTGCATGGAACCTGTATAACAGTTATGCTTAGGTAAAGTTTGGATCCCTGGGTATCACTATGATCATCTAGCTATAATTTAATATTTAAATTTGTCATGTATTCTAAGTCAAAAAGAGGAAACATTTAGCAACAGACATTTAGCTTTTAATCCATAAAATACACAGTTATTAAATTGGGCAAAGGGTAGGAATGTGTAGGAATTCAAGGAGGGGAAAAAAATCAAGTGGGATTGGTCTTTAATTTTGGAATTGAAATACCATCAAGATACTATAGTGAATAATTCCATTTCTTCAGTTTCTGGACCAGGTCACTAAATTAAAAAATTGTTTTCTTGAACCCTAAAAGCTAACATTTGCATAGAAACAAACTCCTTGTTCTCTTTAAAATAGGAATTTTTTCTGCTTCGTGATGAGAATATTAAGACAAGTCATCCTCAAAGGTCAATTCAGTTTTGTAGACATCTAAATGAGCTTATATTGACCAACAGCAGCTGCTACTGTAGATTTAAAATTGCTGAGAACACATACAGAACTCTGAGAGTGCATACAGAACTTCCAAGTCCATGGCTCACCGCTGTTTTCCAGGGTGGTGACACAGAAGTGACAGACCAGTTGTGCTGACAGTGTGAAGGGTTGTCTGTGCAAAAACTTTTTGATTTTGTCATTCCAGAATAAATGTGGTGGAGAGCTAGAAACCTGAAAGATATTTCAGTTCTGTGAGCCCTAGGAAAATAAGCAATGGTTAGAAGAGAAAGTTCTTATTCCCCTGAGAGGGAAGAGTATAATGTAACATCAGCCTTTATTAGAAGCCAGGGAAGCCACATGAGCTATCCACCTTGGGGCAAAACTCTACAGGAAAGAAGGATTTATTAGTTTTGCTCCTACAGAATATGCTTGGTTTGGTTTGGAATCACATTTCATTTACCTGAGGTAGAAACTCCTATCACTGTGGGAAAAGGACACAACCAGCACAGAAACTGAGTGGCTAGATTAAAAAACTTGATATAAATAATGCTGTCAAATGTGCATGCTCTTGTGGAGAAAGGCTGGACCACATATTTTCATTCTTTTATTCTCTCACCTGTATGTTCACAACAGTTTCTCCACAAACAAGCTGCACTTTTGGAAAGTAAATTGCTCATTGATATTGTCAGAAGGTAGTTTACTGTCTCAAATCCAGTGCTGGTACCATTAGGTTATTTCTGAGGAAGTTTACCCAGCCAACCTCCTGCTCTGAGCAAGAGTGACTTCCTACTTGGACAGAGTTCCTAATGATTTATCTGTCTGAATTCAGTAATTCTCAGAAGCTGGAGATAATATAATCCCTCTAAATGTCTGTTCTAATTATTAAAACCTATGTCTTCTAAGGCCTGCAAGATTTTCTTCAGAACTGCTACCTACTAAATGGTCCTAAATCTGCATTACTTCATGAAACTGATATACCACAAGTGTTTTCTGTGAGCATTTTGTTGTCCCATTTTTTGGCTCGATGAGATCCCTTTGAATATAAAGTTCTTCCATCCACAATTTGGCATCATCTGCAGTCAGAAAACTGCACTTCTGCTTGGTCATGTGAAATGCCACTTGGATTTATTGTCTGGACATATGGAAAATTAGTCTGATTTGAAGTAAATATTGCATCAGTCAATAGGATCTACTAAGTTTCTATGGTGGGAAAATCATCTCTAGTAAAGGAGCCTGGTAAAGACTTTCTGTTGTAAACTCTCATGTACTGCTCGAGTATTGTGACTTAAATCTGTTCAGGAAAATGTAACAGCATAGATGTTACATCAAAAAAAATACAACCATTTTCCACTGTCCTTTCCACTTGCTGTTTTTCTGCACAGGAAATCTAAGAGAATTTAAAGATGTGTTTTAGCCATCACTCAACGCTTTCGTTTTCTCCCTTCTTTCTTTTTCATGTTTTCTTTTATATTTTTACAAATCCTTGAAATGTGAATTATTTGCTAGTGTCCATTGCTACCTGCTTGCAAGGAACTACCTTCTTATTTCTTATGTTCTCATGCAGATCAGATTTCAATACCCAATCATTAATTTAGCATGAGAAGGATTTTTTTTGTGTTAACACAACTAGTAGCACACTTTCATAGGTGAATATGCTCAATATTTGAGAACTATTAGTACTAAAATTATTCTTTTTGTGCTAATCTAAAAATAGGAAAATATTTTAAACCATACTATTCTTTCTGTGTTTCTATCAGTGTCTTTTTTCTAGCACACTGTCAGAATTTTCTTTTAAGAAAATATTTTGAAAAGGCACCTGCTTAATATCATTGGAGGCACTAACTCAAATGGAACTGTTAAATCTCTTATTTTTATGAAATAGTGTTCTCAGAGCTCTTGCAGTAATGATCTTAAATTAGGTGATAGCTTAAAATAGGCATGGAATGACTGCTTTAAGGCACCATTCTATCAAATGGCTAAACATTATAATACATTTATCTTAAAAATGTCATTAGAATGCCTAATAAGATATTGTAGTTTATGCCTGCTTATGATTGTTTGCATAGATTTAGCCAGGCTGCTAACATGCTTAAACAAGTGCTCATATATAACCTTTACAGAACTGTGGCAGTGGTTATACAAAAAATCAATATACTACGCTAGGATATTGAAAAATAGGATTTTCTACTAGTTAGATGCACACCATTAAGTAAGGCTCCCAGTACCACCCTTGTTACTTTGCCTGTCAGTTTTTTTTCCAATCTGTAATATATGCTCACAGAAATTTGTGACAATTGCTCTGGCTCCCTGTGTAAATTTATTTTCCATTTTGCAGGGTATTATTTTTATTTTTCAGTTTGAGGGTGTTTGGTTTTGTGAATGTGTGGGGCTTGGGGGTGGGTGTGTCTTGTTTTGTTTGTTTAGGTTTTTTAAGGAGACCGGCATGTAACGAATCCTGTGGCTTGATCCTTTCAGGATCCTTTTGTAGAAAATTTTACTGGGTCTGCAGCCTGTAATGGCAGCTCCTTCTGTACACAGGCAAGGTGTCTGTAAACATAATAGAAATAACCAGGCTGGAAACAGATGTCATAGTATTAATAATAAAGTAGAATACACTAGTGATACAGTGCAAACCAAAGTTAAGGGTCTGTTGAGCGGAGACAGGTCTAGTGGAAGGTGTCCCCATCTGAAATAGGGGGTTTGGAACTGGATAACTGACCCAAAGCATCCTGTGACTCAGTGTTCAAAGTAAAACAAATCCATCCTAGCCTCCAACTTCTGTGACCAGTGCTGAGTGCTTTGGAAACTGCACCCAGTGGTGGAGCTACTTTTTGACTTTGTATTCTAGATTTGCTTTCCTACACCGTTTTATCAAATAACTGCACTGTGTATTGGCTCTAAATCTGCATTTATAATGATTATCTTAATTTTCATATGCTAAATTTGTACATTCTCAAAACTTTCAAAGCCGCAGGCACAATATATGTTATTACTTGAGGTTGTTCTTTAAATTCTTTAATTGGTTGCAGAAGTTCGTATTTATAGTTCTGTGTTAGAGGAAAAATTGCATGTCACTATTTTGAAACAAGAAAGATCTGTTTGTGTTTATTTGTCATAGACATTTACATTTGTAGGTTTCCATAAGCAAGCGATGATTCTCAATCATTCTAAATCAGGATGTAGTGCCTTCAAATATTCAGTAGTCCGTGGGTAATCATTCTTGCACAGTAATATGCTTGAAACAGAGTTTTGAATTGTTTTTGCCATCTCCAGTTTTAACTTTAGTTTGTTGTGGCCATGGGAAGTAGCTTGAAAATTTTTCTATTGGAGGATGTTAATCTTTGATAAATTCCATGTTATGGATAAGTACTTCCACATTAGTTCAAAGCATATGCATCTCATTTCCATGCAATTCAATAATATTCAGCTCCTTAATAGTGATACTTGCTGAGGTTTTTGTCCTTTCATAACACATGTATCAGTCTCAGTGAAGCTGTTAAATAACTGGGTTTTCTTACTGATTAAGTCTGGATAGTATTTAATTAAAATCCAGTTTGTGACTGAACTTGTTTTGGCTGCAACAGGGGTTTTTTTTAAGTGCTCTGTTTGTTAGGGGCACTTGGCACAAATGTGGAAGAAATGTTTCCTGTCCCACAGAGACTATAAAACAAATGGCTAATCAAAATTCCCTCAAAATTTGTTAAAATTAATGTCTTTTCTGGTTAATTATTTATAAGGCAGCTTTCATGTTTTTTTCAAATATTGAGGTAATTTTTCAATATTTTTTTAATTTTATGTGAATCTCTGTGCATCTTTATAACATTATGCCTTCATTAAACTCAGGAAAAATGTCCAGCTCTGTACTGTTATCTGTGATCCTAGAGGTTTCATCTAGATTACTGGATTCTTGGCACATGGATGTTTAATGTACTTGCAAGATGGTGTGAGTGTAGGAGTGTCTACTTACAGCTTTAATCCAGTGTGTTTTGCATAGCTTATAACAGCTGTAATAGTAGGAATTAGCAAAAATTTAGTAATTTTGGTAGAAGAAAATTCAAATGTTTGTAAATAAGGCTTGAAACAGCTGTAAATCTCTTGCTACTGATGACTAATTATTCTGTAGTTTTGTGATACACTAAAGTTATTCCTTTACAAAGCTATGAAGAAACTAAAAGTTGTGCTGGATGTTGATATAATAAACATGCTGACAGGAGTTATCTTTGGCTGTGCCAGGCAGGTAACTCGAGACCCACTTTGGATCCCTTGGGATCCCTTTTTCTTATCTTTTTCTTCATTATTATTGTTGGGATATGTTTGTTTCTTTGTTGTTGATTATGTTTAACAACTGTTTTCTTAAAACTAGTACAAGAAACTTTCATGTGTCATGACACTGACGAAATCATACATATATAGAACGTATCACTACAGTGACAAAATTACACTTAGTGCATACCATCTACTGAATCACTGAAATACAGCAGCAGTTCTCTGAAATCATTTGAAATAGAAGCATATTGTGGGATCAACAATACCAAATAAAATATTTTTAAAATACTTGTAGGATAGAGAGTATTCTAAACTTTAAGCATTTTTTATCTAAAGGTATTTTTTATTTTTGAGGTTTTAGTATGATTTTATTTTGAGGTTCTGGCAGATGGTACTGCTGCTGTAGAAATCTAATAAGCCTGTTCAAAACTTTATCTATTACTTTAATCTTTTCCTATGTACACCAGTGCCAACTAAGATTATTTTTTGTCTCCATACCTTCTGTCCTGTGGTATTGGCACACATGATGTGCTGTGCTTTGGATTTGCTGATCTTTTCTGGCTGAAGGAGGAGGGCATGCTGGTTTGGTTCCTAGTTTGCTGTTGGGAAAGCAAACTGCTCTGAACTTATTTTTTTAATCTCAAATGTTGCACTTGCTTAAATATATAAATTATAAAGGTGTATACTAATTGGAGTTACTTGTAGGTGTAACAAAGGCATTGGACTGAGAAAGAAAGAGAGGGATTCTTCTGACTGACTTTCAGCTTTTGCTGAAATTGGTAAGTTTCTGCTTCTTTCCCCAGGCACTAAACTGAGTTCTGGCCACATTCTGCTCGGACAGCTCAGAAATAGGATTTCCAAAGGAGCCTGTCCTATTGTTCTGCAATATGAGTTCTCCTGACACTGCTTACCTGTTGCTTGCTGGTGTTGCCCAGAGTGCTGTGCCTGCTCCCTGAGCAGGGCAGCTGTTTATCATCAAGCTGTCACAGAGCACACCATGGCCAGGACCCCACAGTGGGTACTGAACCTCTGACATTTTTGGTATGCACATGTACCAGCTACGGCCTCTACACACCTCATGAAACAGGCATCAAGTAAACAAATTAATTTACAGGGAGCAGTCAGAGGTGTGAGCAGAATCTGGGTTTCCCATCTATAGGATTCTGCCCCCATGGTTTAAATGGTGTCACTGGGGAAGGGCTGTCAGACACAGCCCTATCGCCTGTACCCTCAGTGGGAGGGTGGTGCTTACACAAACACCTCTGCTAAGGCTGCACAGTTTCAGTTTTAAATCTATGGCCACTGCTCATAGGTAAACTGCATTAAAAAAGCTGTCATTTCAGAGGCCTGGATGATCCCATTTTGGGGAAAAGTTGGTTTGTAATGATAACATTCCAAATATCACTTTTTATCAGCTTGCATATCTGTCACCTGAACAAAGTAAAAATACACTCTTCATCATTTACAGTTTTACAATTTTTAATGTCTTTATTCATTATAGCCCAAAACAAAATAGCTGTTTCTGTATTTAACATCTATTAAGTAAGGATTAATCTAGGATAGAAGCTGTTACAACATTCTTGCTTAAGATAAAAATTCTTCCTGCATCCAACAACCACCTAAATTTCCTCCCAAAAGAGAAGGTATCTAGATTGAAGAAAAAAATAATGTCCATGTAATACTTTAAAATGAGCACTTTCCTGGACTGGGACAAAGGAAATTCAGGAATTATTTTATATTTTTTTCTTCCAGACATCTGCTCCAATTTCATCTCTGTATGATTTTCAGATGTCTTTCTGTACACATCTGACTCCTCGTCTGTGTCTCTCTCCTCCTCTCTTTGAGTCTGTGCCGTGAATCCGTGCAGAATTCTCCGAGTCCCGTGGAGCTGAGGTGAGTGGCACGGCATCATTTCGGATTTCTGCTCCCCCGAGGAGCTGGGCGCGTTTTCTGGGAGGCTGCTGTTCAAACCAGCAGATGGTGCTGCGCAGCATCTTATGGCTCCTCGCATCCACTGCAGTCCTTTTTGTACCACAAAACTACTTAAAAGTTTCTACTGCAATTCCTGAGCTGAAACAAATGTTTGTGGAATTAAGTAGTGATTTCCTTTAAGTCTGGGGGACTATTTTAGTGGGTATGTTTTCAGTCATTAGATGTTAACATATGCCATATATTGTTTTGTTTTTTTCCTGATGGAATCAAGGGTACCCATGCACACTTAAACCAACTGTAACTCTTCATGTCACTTAGTAAAGGTCTGAATTTTCTGACAGAATAACTAATAAAACTTTAATATTGAGAGCTAAAATATTTTGGAAGAGAAAAATTCTGGAAACTGTAAGTAAAAACAGCAGCTAGCATTTTATTTATGGAATACAGATGAGGGAAAGTTTGGGTTTGTTTTTTTTTCTTTCAACAATAACCCTTGCTGTGTGAATAGAATAAACCAGTAGAAATATTCAATTATATACTGCACACTGAGGGGCTAAAAGCATGTAGTTAGGTAGTGCAACCTTGATGTATCTTTTAGATTGAAAGCTACTTGTAACAAATGAAATAATCTTGTATTTAGCTTTAAATTGCAGTGTAGCTGTGCCTTGCTCTGAGATTCAGTTACTTAAGAAAAGGGTTAAGTGAGAATTCTGATGCAAGAATCAAATATGGAGCACTTGAATAGTAAATAAGATTGTTCCAAGGTTTCAATTTGTTGTATTAGTCAGTGACAAGTACAACATTTTTAATGCATGCCATAAGATTAGTGTACCCAAAGTAAACAAGCAGTAGTCTGTGTGCATCTCTAGCAATTGGTTCGGGTTATATGTATGCAGCTTTGTTTCTGATAATGGATTCAAGTTCAACATAAATAAAAACAGTGTACATTAAGGAGGATAAATATCTAATTGCCATAATCTGCATCTAGAATTGAATGGATGTAAACATGTTAACCACAGAAGACAATTCCTCAGAACAGAAAGTAGCTAGTTGGACGATTATTAGCAAAATAGCTGTACTTCTTTTGTCTGTTAAGCCTTTCCTCTTCAAAGATGGAAACTATAATTTTTGAAACACCTTTTAAAAATCGTAACATTTGAACCTTTTAAATATGAGATGAAATTATATTATATGGTTTATATACATTTTCTGACACTGCAATAAAATGCATCCTTTGTAGGTTGAAAGATTGTTAGACTGCTAAAAGTTTTGATATAATTTAAAATAGTTTTTTACACAGAACTCAATTTAAGCTCAGAAATTATGTTTCTTTTTATCTTAACACTTAAAAGAATGAAGTAGTATTTTTGTCAGTATGCATGAACAAGATACAAATAGTATTTTATGTTTTGTGGTTATAAGTGATATTTTAAAATGTATTGTAGTTGCTTAGTTTGAAAAAGAATGCAGACTGTTTGCTTACAAAATACACAGTGTAGGCCCAGCAGAACTGTGTATCTGACAAGCATTCTGGTTATTTAAACTTGCATCTAACAGATTTCAAAACTATTAATGCTGGAGTGAGAAGTTTGAGGTGAATATCTTTGCTTAGAAAACTATTGGGAAAATGTGGCTGATTTGAATTACACATATTGCTTTCCCAAGAGCCAGAGTTTGTTATTTTTGATAACTGTATACAACAATATCCTTAAGGAGCTGCATTCACCTGTTTACTTACTCAAAAAAACACAAAACCACCCTCTTTGATGGATTTTTTCCCTATTTTTCTGAAACTTTGTTTATGCTGAATTATATTTGGCTTTTGAGAAACATAATTAAATATATTTTTACCTTCTAAAAATCTGTTAGTCTCAGATTTACTTGAACATATAAGACATTGAAATGAAATGCCTCATGCATTAAAAAAGACAAATGCAATAAGCAAAATATAATATTACTAAATTACAAAAGATGAGGCTGAATTTGAAAACACAGTTAACTACTGTGACAATGTTCAGACTTAGTACCTTCATGTCAGGGCTTTAATTGTCTCTTACAAAGCTGATTAATTTTTTTAAAGAAAATCTATTATCTAAACAGACATTTCAGAATTTGAAGCCTCTTTGAAATTACCTAAAATTTTGATATTTACCACAAGTTTTAAGTTTCTAAAAGAAAATGCTGACATCTATTTGTAGCTAAATTACTTTTTTCAGCTATATTTTTGTATAATTTCTGTATAATTAATGATTTTAAAAAGTTAACAGTAGGCTTGCAGTCTTATTGCTCTGGAATTAATGGGTGAAAAACTGTAGTTAGGAGTTCAGAATCAGTATCATGTCTTCAAGATTTTAGTAATATAGATCAAAATGTAGTAATCCAGATCAAAATGTATTTTCAGTATACCAATATGGGCCTGTTATCACTGGGTTGTGAAAATACACTTAGTCCCCCCACAAAATGAAAATAGTCCATAGGGAGTGTTAGATCTTGTAAAGATTCCATTACATTTGTAAATAAGAGATACATTTCTAATGTTTCTTTTAGGGGAAATTAAACTATTTTTTCCTTTCACAAGGCAAACTTTTTAGTATGATCTTTGAAACATTAAAATTTCAGGAATATGTATCATTTGCTTGTAAAAGTATATTATTAATTTTGTGATAGAGTGCAGTCTAGTTTTTTCAGGTATTTCTATTTAATGTCCTGGAAATGAATATTGAAATGACTAAATTGCTTGTCCTTGAACTCGTTGCATTACTACACTTCATCTCACTTCATCATTTAATTTGTATGGTTTCCAAATCTACGTGATTATCATCTATTAGTACCCTTGGTGACAGAGGGCAGGACACTGTTGTATCAGAGTTAATAAAGCAGAAACACACGCCTAATTACTATGGGAGGTAAGCCATGCTGGCAATATTTACCTTTCACATAAGGCCTGTATGTGGTTAATACTTACAAATAAAGATGGATAGATAGGCATCTATGTTTGTGTGTTTCTGTCCTATGTTGACATAATTCATTTTTGTATTACAATTTTTGATACATTCTCCTTTTTTTTCCTTCTCTTTTATATCCCTGAATATATTACTGTGATTGCTCTCAGATGCTTTATGTTCAATTTTGAAAACTTAGCTAGACATGGAAGCTTTCATCTGAGTCAAATGATTATGCAAATATAGTGTGGATGCTCTCAGGCATTACTTCTACCTCTGCAAATTTATATTAACAAATGCATATTGTATATATTAATTTCAGATTTATTCAAAATGGTCTGTGCATAGCAAACTGAAAACACTTGTCATGGTAGTATTAAATATAATGACTACGGAATATTAAACATGATTCTGTATGGAATTTTAATTCAGTGGTCTGTATTTGTATATATTTGTATGCAAGTATGTGCATGCATGTATACATAGAGAAATCAGTGCCAAAAAAACTTATTTTGCTGCCACTGTGTTATTACTCATCATGAAAATACAGTTTTGCCCACAGTTCTTGTAAATCAGAGGGATTTTAAAAATGAAATTACTTAACTATACTTCAAATCTCTACAAGTAATCCACATATTTTAAAGATACATAAATTTCACATTTATAAATATTTGCTGGATGTTATGTCAGTCTGGAAACTTTTAAGTCTTTGTCCATGTGGTATTTATGATAATTTTGTTCTGAAGTGATGCAGTCTTTATTCAATAAAAATAAATATGCACAAGTTATTGTGCTATGAGACTGAAAAGCGTTACAGTAGTTAATACAAGACTTTATATAAAATGTTTTATTGATTGACTCTATGTCAATTTTAATTTAAGCTTTATGATTCAATCTGTGTCTATTTTTAATTTAAGTGGATTACATTCCGTAAAGATCCTTTTACTGTATTGACTTGGATGTACCATATTATTAGGTACTATGAGTTCAGCTTCTACAAATCTGTTAATACATAAAACCATAAGAAGCCTCTTATGTTCAAACCAGGTTAGAGTGAAGACATCAGATTAATATTTGATCATGTAGAAGTGCCCTTAATCAGATTTACTTATTTCTCAGAGTGTTTCTGCAATTATCATAATTGTTGTGCTAAATATGTTTGTCTTTATATCTGGCTTTGGGCATAATCTTCTCTCTTGAAACCCTCTCATTGTGGGACTTGGATTCCTGCACAAAACCCAATTAATATTAAGATGACAGTCCCTGATGAGTTCCCAAGGAGCCAGCAGCTGAGCAGACTCTGTAACGTTCTTAAGTACAGACTACTTGAATGATCAAGAGCATCTGAGGGAGACACACAATTCAATAATCCCTTTCTCAGGAAAGTCAAGAGTCCTGTGAGATAAGAGTGAAATCAAAGGAACACATCAGAAAGAAAATGACTGGTATAGTCTTGTAGTGTCTCTATTAAAATGCAAAAGTTATGGATTTTTTTAGGGGTGATGGGAACCTTTTCTGTTTTATTGATTTCTTTTTATAGTTTGATGATTTCTCTAAGATTATCTTAAAAGCTTAAAGAAAAAAGAGACTTCATCAAAAGGTATTTTGTGTGTCAGGCGCATACATACTTTTTGTTTCCATTATATTAATTAATACGGCACATTTCAGTGGTTTTTGGTTTTGAGACTTCAACTTATGCACTTTATGTACATAGTACATTTGTCACAGTTGTTTTTCCTGATGGTGACCCACAAATGATAAATAAGGCACATGTGACTTATCCTGTAAGATTTGCTCCTTGAGAAAAACAGTCACAGAAAAGCAATACTGTTTACTGGGTTTTGAATGCATCAAAATGGCAACAGCTGCTCTTTTCTGATACCCTCTTCTATGATCTAGTATCAACAACTGAATTTACTCTCTGATGATAGTGTGCTAACCTATTGATTTGTAATCAGAAATTGGTTTCCTGTCACTTTAAAAGGGAAGCACTAAGGGGCAGTAAAAACAAGCCTGTCTGTTCTGGATGAAGCTCTGGTTCAGGCTCCATGCTGTATGTTTTCTTATTTTAAAGAGTTCACTTTTTTCTTCTGTTTTAAAGAAGATACTTCAATTAATCAGAAAATGCTTATTACTTTTTAGCTTATTATATTGTGCAGGGTTCACGTGTTTGAATTGCTCTTGAAGTCCTTGAAGTTCTTATATCTGTAGTCATATCCATAATTAAGATTTTATTTTATTAATGATTGTATGGCCTCAGCTGATATTTCTAGAGGTTAAAAAACCACAAACCAAACAAACCATCTCAATGCTGGTAAGTGCTCTTTCACTATAGATTTACATCTTTAACAAAGTTCCATTATCTGAAACTTGTTAGACAGTAAGATAGTAAATGTTACTAAGTGATCAAAAATGCTCTCCTATGTCTTTGTTAGTGTTCCTGCACTGTCCCTTAAGTTTGTCTTGTGTATTTCACTGAATAGATTTATTCAAGTAGCTACATAAAGATTTGTTTCAAAACCAGTAGGATTGTAATGGAATGCAGCACAGGCATTTTCTAAATGCACATTTTTAAGTCTTACTCATCCTCTGTTTTTAGTTCCGTTTATTGTATATTATGGTAAACTTTGCAGCTGAGGACATTATCCTAAGAAAGTCTAACATTACATTAGAAGTATGACCTGTCAACATAAGCATTTTTGTTCATTTTCCCATGCCAAACCAGACTGAAATATGAAGGATGTGAAATAAAATGTGCCTTCTAGTTTTCTTCTTAATATTCAAAAGAATCGAGGGGGAAAAATGAATACCTAAATCATACATATGTATATGCCTTTTAAGCTTTATAATAAAGCCTTTAAATAACCCCTTACTTGGTTAAAATCCAACTTAAGAGTCAACATACAAAGGTGACTGCTGTATAATATTAGACATATCTGTATTATGTGGGCATGTTACTGCTCCACCAGAATCTCTCAATAGTAATTATTATGCCAAGCACCCTGTTGGCACAATTACACTAAAGCTCTAATTAGTAGCAGTAAGATTAGAACCCCTACATGTTAAATCTGTAGAAGCAAAGCTGAGTGAAGGATTTAAAACAGTTTCAAAACATTGTATTGTCTTTATTACAGTCTTTGTATTTCAGTAAAGAAGGGTTTTCTATAAAATGCACTTAAAATAATCTGGTTCTGTCACTAAAAATAGGAAAGATAAGGTAATTGCAGTCAAACCTCAGTACTCTGCTTCTATCTAGGTGCTTTATATCTCAAGTGTCAAATCCAGTGAACTCTAGTGGAAGTTACATCCTTCGAAGCTTTTCCTTCGATGAACTGATGGGGTTGGGATTGATAAAGGCTTTTCCTGCTGCCTCCAGTTCCTTCTCAGTGACTGCTGAGGGTTCCGTGCTGGAAGGGTCTGGCACGTGGCAAGTCTTATGTCACAACTTTATCGCCAGCTAAACATGATCCTTGTTAATTCACGCCTTTCTCAATTTCACTCTTCACCGTTTTTTCTGCAAAGTAATGAAAACACCGAGTTCATTGTCCAGCTGTAGCTTTACAGGCAGCACACAAGCACTGGGCACTGCCAGTCTGAAGCTGCTCCCTCACTGGGGACGATCAGAAGCCAACACAAATGACATCAAAGCATTGATTCCATTATTTGAAAAGTTGTGGTCTCACCACCCTTCCAATACAAGGAGATTTTAGCAGATTTGAAATGACTGATGATGCATCTTCATCTAGATTTGGTATCTACTAAATCTGAGTTAAAAATATCTGCTTCTGTATAACTCTGTATACTGTAAGAGCTTTTTTTGCCCTCATGTTGGATCATTAGATACAGTACATTCAAGTAAAGAATCAGTTGATTCTTAGAATAAGTAGAGACATACATGCCTAAAGCATTCTGCTTCTGATTCTTAGTACACTTTGTATTTGAGAGGGAGGAAATTTTCTGGATTCTCTCTTTTAATAACAATTTCTTTAGCTGTGCTGAATTGTAATAATGATTCCCCTCATCAATTTATTTATTCTTATTTATAGCATAAGCCAATTTCTCACTGAGAAAATGATTGTATGATTGCTTTGTCTTAATGTTTATTGATTACATAGTGCCTCTACCATTAATGAAGGAAGCTGGATGCAAAGCTAACAGAACCTGGTGAATAAATTCCCACTGGCTCCAGAAAGATTTGAATTATGCCTACAGTAGAAACAGACTTTATTGGGCTCTCCTCAAGCTTCTCCTGCAGGGATGAGAACCCTTTTTGTGCTTCTTATCTAGGTTGCTTTAGAGGTAGAGTTTTGACCAAAACATGAATGTAGGGACCCAGGAATTAATTTTATGAGGGATTTTGCACTTCCCCATTTCATGTTTTAGGGTACTGTTTAATACTCTAGTACATCTCACTAACTTGGTCTGACAACAGAAGCACAAAACAATATAGGGAGTGAAGGAGTTGCCTACATTTAAAGGTTGCTCCTATTGTGTTTTTCTCCAGTAGAAGAGGGAGTCTCACATGACAGTACCACTGTGTTTTGTCAGCCCGAGACATTAAGGTATTTTTCTGTATAGCTTCAGGCTGGTTCAGTGATTTGTGCTGCTGCAAAGAGAATCACAGGGTACAGTCTCCATTGCACTAACTCCACTCAGACAGGCTCATATAATCAATCTAGTTAAATACCTTTCTTTGTAAATGCCTAGATGTTGAGGGCACAGGTGAAAATCTTCAGTGCTCCAAAGGTATTGGGTATACATATTATTCAGACTTAATTTATATAGTCATTGTTATCTATAATATGTGGCAGACTTAAGAGCCTGATGTCTTAGTTTCAATATTTGCCCTAATTTTTTATTTTTTTAATATATTTTTAGTCTTAACGTCAGAGAAGAAGGTTTGTAATGCAAAAGAAAAGTTATTTATGAATAATAAAATAGGTGGTGTTAAATAACATATTTCATTATTTTAATGAATTAAAAAATTGTTAAAGTTCGTGTTTCTCTCATTGTTCGTGCTATTAAATGCATATTAGCATGGTCATTTTTGTTTAATGGAAACAAACAACAGTTAATCTTATTGGGAGGTTAAGTGGGTTTACTCTGTAAAGGGCAAATCCCAGATGAATGTTTTCTTTTTTAAAGAATAGCTTTAGTCACTGACAGATGGTCTCTGTCTGAGTCTCCCCGTAGACAGATACAGTTTCTTTTTACACATTTATGAAAGTTGTAGATACAGATATTCAGTAATATGCTGTTGTGTAGGACAAAGACCAAGTCTGGCGGATTGATAGGATTAGATTTCAGAACAGTGACATATGGTTGGTTTACCAAAGTGGACACAATTTGAAAAGAAAAAAGAAGTATCTACAGTTACAGCTACTCTCATAATGGAAGAATTTAAATTTGGCCAATTGCCTCTTACAAAAGACAGTATGGTAGCTCTTATTTAACTCTGCTTAGAGTTTGGTATATCATTATTAGGTTCTGATTGTGTGCATTTCTGGCTTTCAGATAAGTCTGCAAACAAATTGCCATGTAATCTTAAGTGAAGAAAAGCAGTAATGCCTTAATTTAGAATATTGATAATTTGATCCCTGGCCCTAACCAATCAGATATCAATATCACTTACATGTCTATTGCAGATTTGTTTTATAAATACAAATAAGAACCTCCATAAGCCTGCATGATAAGCCTGCATTTTGCTTACCCTCTATTCTACATGTAAAGTTCTCATTATAACCTTAATCAAATAACTATACAACATATTTAGTGGTAATTTATCACAGTAAAATTATTCATAGGTGTCTTGAGTAAGTCCAGTTATATTTATGTGTTATGCCATACCGTGTTTTTTGGCAATGGAGTTTGCTAGATTTCATAGATTTACTGTGTCTGCTTTTTTTTATGACTGACATAGCAATAACCAGATTGCAAGGATATTTATGTTGTTTGTGGCTTAGCAAGATAATTAAAGGATATAAATTAATCAAGTGCAATTAATTAGAAACTTTATGTTCACAGCAGTCCTTCTTTGCATGTATAATTTATATGTATTGATTTCCCAGCTTTCATTAGCCTATGAGATAACAGCAAAAATGCATTAGAGAAGAAAATGTACAATTAGCGTGAGAGTGAACCCTGGCATAATTGATAGATCAGCACATGTTTGGGGCAAATATAAAGCTTTGTTAACTGTCATAAGCAGTTAGAATTGATAAGTGGTATTTCACTACATATCTCTCAGCTGATTAATGGTGTTTTTAAAGAGTCCTCTTAATGGGAAGCTGATAGGTTGGTTGAATTTACATTTTAATCAGAGTATTTATGATGGAGGCAGCCATAAGAAATTTATTGGCACAGTGGTAAGGACCTTCCCTGAGGGATTTGGGGAAAGAGAAAGCATTTTAATATGGCTACTCACCTTCCCCTTCTTTGTGTGACCTGGTCAGCTCATAGGAAGGGCAAGCATTTTGGCTATCAGCTAATAACTGTTATCAAGGGAAATTTCATGTTAATTAGTGAGGTGAAATATAGATGAAAACCTACAGAACATTTGCACGCTCACCTAGGAAAGAGTAGCTCTGTTAACAACAATAGTCTGCAACAACTACTTGTGGATCTTTACTGTGTTGAGATGCTGTGTTTTAGTTATAGTTTTGTTTCAGCAACATGTTTGTTTTATACCTGTAGGCCCTTCTACTGCAGGAGAGCTCTTGATCCAAACTAGTCTCTGATTATCTGCTGAAGATTTAGAGTTGGTAGGTATGTGGAAATAGCCTGAGTCAATTTACAAGTGGGGCTTGTGATTCATTGTTCAAGTGTCTTTTGTTAGAACTGCTGTCTATATGTTGCTTAATAAAACCATATTTGTTACTTGCAGACACTTGCTTGAAATTAGAAACTTTCATATAAAAGTGGTTTTAAGTTATACTTTCTATTTGAGATTATTTTCTGATTTATATTTATATACACATTCTGCTTTAATAAAAATATCTAGCTAATGCACATATTCTTATATTCTCAGGCTTCTGCCTATCAAATAAGCAGTTTTTCTTACCTAGTTAAGCTAGTTGTTCAAATGGAGAGCTAGACTCAAAGTATCTTGCTTTACTCTTTTTATTGACATGTCTCAGAAGTTAATAGCCTCATGCATCACTTTCTGTCTCGATGAATTCTATTTGATTTTCTTTTGTTTATCTATTCCACAGAAAAAAAACAATCACTGGGTTTATTTTCTAAGTAGCATATTAAATAAAGTTTTTTAGCTTAGGTATTTCAGTTTCCTCATTTTGTTTTACACTGACAAATTAAAGTAGCTGACTAGTAAATTAATTCATAAATATTAAATATTTGATATAAAGAAGCAAATTACATCTACCTCAAATTACATCTACCTTTGAACAGAAATTAAGGACCCCATGCTTAAAAACCATAGGTTATTTGTATATCATTTTAGCCATATCAGATAAGAATCTTAGGCCATATATAGACACATTAGTTTTGTATTATAAATGTCTTAATTATTCAGAGTTCATTAGTTTCCTTTTTTCACAACTCAAAATAAATGAAAGTTTAATGCAGAAATGAGGGTTTCCTACATTTGTAATTTAGATAGGTTGCCACCTTAATGCAAAGTTGTCTTTTGTATTGTGTCCTTACTTGCTCAATTTGCATTCTGCCTGTTGCTTTACACAGTATCTGTGGCTGGATTTGCTGGCATTTTGAAAGTGAGAACTATTGTTTCATCTGTCTGGTGGCCCCAGGGAAGAGGAGTACCAAGTACTGTCTGCAATACAATTCCCTTTCTTATTTATAGCTACCAGAAATATAAACAAAAGTATACTGTGATATAATTCGGAATTAACAACATTTCTGAATTAAAGTGACTTGATTGTAATCCTGCAGGTTTCTTTGTCCACAATCAGGAAAATGAATGATAGAGATCTGTACAGTACCTGTGTGCCTGTGCTTGGTCTCATTGAACTAGAGGGATTTCTTCTACTGGAACAACCCTCTTGCCCTGGAATCTTTGCCAATTTCCCTGGTACATCCCATGCCTTTGTGCCCATTAGTGACTGGCACCAATCTGAAATGGCAGCTGCGTGCTCAGATTTTGGAATAATGCCCATTTTTTTGCATTCTGACCACTTCCAGTTGAGAGTGTGGGCAGCTCCCCTGCCTTCTCTTGGCAGAGAAGGTCCTGCTGGAGCCACTCACAGTGGCTCAAGAAAGGCTTTCTCTGGAAAACCCCATACTGGAGACTCTTTTTCCCCTTATTTCCTCCTGTGCAGATGACATTCCTGCTCCAGGTTGCATGTATACCTTGATACTCAATAATTGCATGATTTACTGGCAACTCACTTCCAAATGAACAAGGTCTATGTGTAAAAGTTACAATGGTAGCTAAAAAACCATCTGAATTTTTATATATATGATTTTAGATGTAGTGAAATAGACAAAAAATCCCTACTTCGATATTTTAAAGGGAATAAAAGTTTCTTTGATTTTCAGTTTACTTGGAAGGTCAGATGTAATACAGGTGTTTGTTGCATAGCAGGTATGTTGGCTAGATACATAATGTACTTTTCTTTGCTATGTTATACTTCATGTCCTTTTGAGAATAAAAATGAAAAGAACATTCTTTTGGGCTAAACTGAGATGGCATATTTTGAAAAGGTTTGACTGGACAGATTTGCAGTTAGATATATATCTGTTTTATCTAAAATTTTGGACAGGTATACTATTAGTAGACCACCCCAGATTATCTGTTTACAGATGCTATGCTGTTAGTGGATTTAATAAGCAAAAATGGGGATAATAGCTTTATCTGAACAAAATACAGAAAATATCTATTGGTCCCACTAAGTTCTTGCACATGTACTTCAACATTTTTTAACTGAAAGATCAGGCACTTTTATTTTATAATGGTTCAGGTTCTCTCCTGTTTAATGCTAAGAACTCTCTGGAAGTGAAATGTGACAGTATTCCAATAGAAAAGATGAAGTGGCAGCAGTGTGATAAGGATGTGGTATGTAGGATGTTGATGTGAATGTATTAAATTAGTTTATATGCACCCAGAGAAGAGCTACTTGAGCAAGGTTACTGCCTACTAACCACTATAAATTCTCCAGTGAATGGGAGCATGCCCAGGATTTTACATGTGATTTTTTTGTTGTAGGATCCCATCACTGGCTGACTTAATAGCAGCTTTTTTCAGAGCCTTATACTGTAAAAGCAGTTTGAGGGTGCTGCACTGAGCAATTAATGACACTGGGGATATTTCAAACAGTACCTAAGGAAATCTTTATTTGAATGTGATGGTATTATGGATGTTGGTTGTTTCCTTTGCACAGATCAAAATTAGCTAAAATCTATCTCCTAGCCAGTAAATATCATTTCTGCTGTGCCCTCTACAAAAAAACCCTTTTCGTACAGAATTAACTGTACAGTTTAATGGATTACAAAGATGTTGGCTTCCTCAGTTTTTACCTAAAGTCTCTGTACTTTTGTTTTAGAAAAATAATTGAAAGCATTCTAGTGATCAAGCTGCTTCTACAACTTTTATGTTAGTTGATTTAAATTCACAGGTTAATGGGAGTAATGAGGGTAGAACTACTCTATTCCTCAGGAAAACAGGCCATTTATTCTGAAAGAAAGAGAGATGTTCCATTATAAATACCTAATGTTTTTGTAATATAGAATTGGGTGACAAAAAAATCTAATTACTCTGACTGATTGACAGAGCCAAACTTTCTGAGGTTCTGAAGGAGAACGGAAAGTGCAAGAAACTGCAAACCAAACATACAAAAACGGGCTTCCATGTGATGGAAAGGGATGTGGTATTTCAGGAAAACAGAAAAATTAGGATGTCCCCTTGAAAAAAAGAAGTCATAATTATAGATAGCTTTTTGTAAGCAGCCCTCTTCCAATACTGGTTAGCTCTATAGAACTTGGTGAGAGTTCTGGCAGTGGGCTCATGCTTTCATTTCTTCATACTTAGCTCTCACTTTATTACCATTTGACCATCTTCTCCACATGTGAGAACAATCAAACATTTTGTTTGAAAACTATAAAATGAAATACAAAGCTTTTCTATTCCTCCAGATTCCTAGGAGTTTGTATGTGTGGCAATAAAATGCATTGTCATGAGTCAAAAACAACATTTTCCATGTATATATATCATGTTTGTCTCTTTGTGGTTAGTTCTGGCTCAAAATGGAAAGTAAGAAGTGAACAGTACTTATTTGAAATACTTAAGTGGGAGTTTAATCCCATTAAGCTAGTTCTGTAATTGACCAGGGTGCCTGTGTGTGCTTCAGTTTGTGATTATTACTTGAATGTGTGGGAGGAGGTTATGAAACTTTTGGCTTCAGTGAACATTACAGCACTGGAGTTAGTTCAAGGGTGGACTGCTTTATACTATATATATAAAAAATAGTAATTATTTTTAAAAATGCTGTTAAATACACTGCAATTTAAGACCATGTGTTGTATTCTTTAATATGCATATCATTGTTTCAATTTTTTTATAGACTACGTTGAACTTGTCTGCAAGAGAAGAGAATATCAATCAGTATCTGTGCAGATGGTGAATCTCATTTTCAGGAAATATCTGGAAAATGCTTGGCTGGCCTTAAAATAGATGGTAATTACATCGAAATTTCTTTTTTGCTATGGTCTTTCCTCTAATAAGAAGGGAATTTTTATTTAGTAACAGCTTTGACTGGCTTCCTTTATTATGTTTCCTTCTATTTTTGTTCCTGGATTGCACCTGCTCAGTAGTTATCTAATCTTTCTTAGAAGTTTACACTCTCAAGTAAAAGCTTTGAAGTTTACACTGATTAGTGTTTTATGGCATAGGAGATATGTATAGCTCCTTCTTTTACAGTGTTAAAGCTATTATGCACCTGGTAAAAAGATAGTCATTAAAGTTCAGATGACAAACCTTTAAAATATTTAGTAGATTAAAGTACTGAATTACTCCCTACTACTTGTTCAAGGTCCTTCATTTTATGAAAGATTCTTCCAGTTTGGATTTTGAAGACAAGGGCCTTTTATGTGTGGTTGTACACTGGCAGACATCAGACATTTTGCAAAAAGGGTGTAGACAGTTATAGAAATCCACTTTTTTAACTAGACCAGTACTGAAATGTTGCTGATTCTAGTACTTTCCAGCAGCATTGCATTTTCTTGAAAATGTACATGACCAGTTTTCATCCAGACACTCAGGGTTTTTTTGTTTGCAGAAGCACTTCATTTAACAAACATCCTTGGAAGGTGGATTTTGTGTAATTTTGAATATAAGAAGTCTTTGTAAGGGAGATGCTGTTTAAGCATCTGTTTGCATGCCTATGGACAGAAAATATCATATAGATCACCTGAAAAAACCTAATTCTTCCTACTATTTAAAGTCATATATACAAATACATCTATATTAGCAAACATCTTTCTAGTACAAAATCTGCATGTTTTTAAGCCACTGGGTGGTAAAAAGTGAAATAATCATATTTTTCTCCAAAATATCCTAAAAGGAAAAGTGGCTGAGGGAAGTGGTTCCTGTGGTGTGAAATGTGAAGCCTGTTCAGGTCTCGAGAATAAGAGATTTGCCCCAGTGATGGGAATTCTGGAATGATTTTGATGCTCTCTTTATTAGAGAGTTTATTGGTGAAGTTGCCCTGAAATTCAAATGCAGTTTTTGTCTTCCTGAACAGAGTCTGATCCAAAGGCCATGAATTTCTGTGGCCTTGAAGCCCTTGATGATGAGCTCATGTAGCACAAGTGCACAGACACCTGCAGTCCTCTGTACTTTAGTTTTTCCCCTGATTTTCACATAGGACTATAAGGAATGTTGCTATTTTAAAATCTTTCTTTTTAAAATGGACATCCATTTCATTGTTTGAGCTATTGTGAGAACAGTAAGTAATATCAATGTGCCTGCTGGAATAAGCAGAGCAGGATTCTTTGAAACATTTAAATAGCATTAGTTTACACAAATGAGAAACAAGTGACTGTTTCCTGTTAATCCTGGGATATCTTTTGGGGATAAATACATTTTGTTGCTGAAAGTATTGCTTGATGGTATTGCTATGAATATTTTTTGGCAAAATCACAGGAAAGTGTATTATTATTACAAGATAAGAAAAACCACAAAATGATAGATAGCTTCTGGATAGCTACTTTAGATTACTACTAAAAACCATTAAAATACTGTTGTATATGCTAACTCATTAAGTAATTTGTTTTCTCTTGGGATAGAACACCTTTCTTTAAATATTGATAAATGGGGAGACAAACATGCTTTGAAAAAGAATGGGCTGGAGAAACTTGGCTTAGAGTTTTGGGGTGGGGTCATTTTGGTTTTGTTTGGGATTGATTTTTTTGTATATGGCTGATTGTGGTGACTGGAATCTGCAGTGAGGTGCACTCGGTGTGCTCAGAAAAACTGCAATTTGATCTAATCAGGGCTTGGCCTAAGAATGTAATAAATTGTCAATGCAGGACTTTTGCATTCATTTACACTAATATAGAGTGTCTCATTTCTGAGAAGTAAATCACAATGGCTTTAGTACTTTATTTTCCATCTTGTATGTAAGTAAACTGCAGGATCAACTGGGAGGTTGAATCAATCTGCTATTTATTACCTCGAAATGGGACACCCTATTTTAAGTGCCTTATTCCCTTATGATTTAGACAGAGTAGTGCATTATGTTTAAACAGTATAGAAAACAGCTTTATTCTTTGTGGATTTTTCACTTCAGATGTGATGGATTTACATTTGTAAAAAACTTTCAGTGCATCATTATGTTATTGCATAAAATAGAGTTTCAAGAAGACTGAAATGGAGAGAACAAGGAAAGTAATTCCAGTTTTTTCTATCATCTAATAACTGTTAATAATTCTATAGGTTGTTTCCATATATATTATATATTCAAATCAAATATTTGAATTTGATTTATATTTGGGGGTTTTTGTCTAGAACAGTTTGACATTTCTTAATAAATTATTTTCTAAGGACACTATGATTTCTTCATGAGCACAAGGCATTTCAGACACTTTCCCTAAATGGGTTCTTGAGGTTTAATGCAACTTCTCTCCACTAATTTATGGAAGTGAAAAGAGGAGGATTTGGGTTTTAGTTTTGGTGGGTTTGTTTTGCTTTGGTTTTGTTGTTGTTTGGGTTTTTTTGATTGTTTGTTTGTTTTGTTTGTTTGTTTTTTTCTCATGGAGGTCATGAAATGAGAATGAAAACCTATCTGTTCTTCCATTATTGTATTCTTGGGCCATACACTACTGTGATCTCTAATAGTATTAACTTACATCATACACTTAAACAGAATTTTCATGTGTTTATCTACTTTTTTAAGGAACTAATTGGAAACATACAGGTAACTTAGCACTTTAAAAACCCTATAGATTTAGTTGAATAAAAAGGCAGCACCCATAATACTGGCTCTCTGAATAATTTTGACTTCTCAGTCACCTTGTGTACCACTTAGTTGGGATAAAAGTCTCTCTGATTATTTTTGGGGAAGACTTTCTCATGTAAATGATAAAATAACCCATTTTCTGAAGTTAAACCTTTGGACCCCAAATCAGAAAAACACTTGAACATATATCTTTTTCTATTTTAGCACATTAGTGTGAACATTTAGTGAAGTTTTGTCAAGTCACAGTGACTTTCTTTGCTATGCACTACTTAAATGGAAAGCATATAAAAGCACCCAATTCTTGTAAACGTTAGCAAAGTTCTTTTGCTTGCACAGGTTGCAGCTGTGATCTTAGCCTCTGTGTTCTTGCAAGTAAATCTTGCATTTGGAGGATTTGATGTAAGGAGGGAATGTGCCCACACTACCAACTTTTCTCATGTATTTAGCACTCAGGAAATACCTGCTATACTGGAGTACTGGCAAAGGGCTAACTAATTTATAACAAAAATGAACACAGCTGATAAAAATTTTAGCATAGAAGTCAAATGAATAGATAAATATATTCAGGCACACCAAATTGTAAAGGTATCTTGAATCATTACCTGGTGTTTGAAAGAGTTTGCTTTGACCAGCTTTTTCCCCTTCCTGTTTTATTACAGGCATACTGTATGCTCAATAGTAAAGCGAGAGGAAAGCATATGGCCTCCTGTTTGAACTTCTGTAATTAATCCTTCCAAATACTATTTCCTTGGAAAGTTATTTTTAATTTTATTACAGTCTGTTCTTGTATTCTCCCACACAATCACTTGGGCAACATTTGTATCGATGAAAACGACATAAAGCAGCTCTTAACTAAAAGGAGACTGCTGTTTTACACAACATGTAAATGATTAAGTGATAGATTTTTATTACTGTTTGTGTGTAGAGTGCACTACAGCATTTCAGCATTAACTCTCCCCCCATCCTGCCCCAAATCTGTACAGTCCTACAGAGTGTGTTTAAGATCTTTTTGCTGTTAAAAATCATATGGCTTATTTTTCAAAAAGCTTTTTAAAGCAGTTATTCCCTTAGAGATAAATTGATATTTCTCTATACGTTCTGTGAATTCTTGCAGTCATACAAAATAAAATTCTGCACTGTGGAATTGCTTCAAAAGAAGCTAAAGGTTATAGCTTAAGTAATGAAAAAAAACACTGAGAAATAAAAGATGATCAGGTTGGTCCAATGCCGGTCAGTATCTTGTATAAAAAAACCACTAAAAAAATAAAATCTGTCCATTCCTAAAAACCTTCTTTGTTGTTTGCCTACACAGAGAATTAGAGATGAGTGTACTGAGCTTGGCTACTAGACACTGTGACCCTGTAAGACAAGGCAGGGGAAGGAACATTACAAATGCAAGTATATGATGACGGAGAGCTGAAAGAATTATATTTCTGAGTACCTTAAAATATTTTCCAGAAGAAGTCCATGCAAAACAACTGAGTTGAATTGTATGATTATTTTTGTGTGAGAGACAACATATTAAATGATCAGGACGACAGTTGCCTACAAAATATTGAAAGATGACAAATGCTTTATATATATTTTCTGATGTCTTGAAATGTAGGTTGAGAGAAAATCTTCCTCTGATTTAATCTTGAAATGAACTAGAGCTATTCTAAATTTCATGCTTTTAGATAGCTTATGGTAAAATCCACCCTTTTAAGATATTTCCCAGAATGTTTTTTTTGTCTCTTCCTCCCTTCATCCATATAAATTTTTCATCAGATTTAGTGAGGGAGCTTTGTACAGCTATATTAGCCTGAATGCTGTTGATTTTAAAGGTTGTAATTGGGAGCATAATTTCAGTTAAGAGGTCTACTGGCAAGAAATAAAACTGACTAGAAACAGTGGACATAAAATGTGGTTTTATTCAAATAAACTAAAGGGTGAAAGCAATGTGTAACAGATATCTCTTAGCAACTTAATTCCTATTCAAGGATCACAGTAAGTTCACATTTCCAGAAGAGTGTTCAAGGTCTGCCTGTTAGGAATGTTCACTTGTTGGTTTTGCTCCTTGAAATTGAAATTACTGAATTGTACCAGAGAGGACAACACAGGCTTGATTTACATAGGCATGGTCCTCATTAATTCAGGTGGAGTATTAGGTCAGCAGCTCTGTAAGACCAGGATTGGGTAGTGCCTTGTCTGCAAATTCAATTCCTGTTTTTCTTCAAAAA